TTGCAGACAACAACCAGCTGCAAGCACTGCCAGGAAAACTATCCAGCTGGAGAGCTTGAGCTGGACTCCACAGTGGGAAACAAGTGAAAAAAAACTAGGACAATGGGTTCCCCACACAACCCATGGCTACACAAACACTAATTGTCTATTATTTTACAGCCTGCTTATCTTTTTCAGCAGGAATGGATCCTTGGAATAAACAGGAAAGGGACCCATGAACCATGATCCATGTGACTGATGGTATGCAAGGTCTGGGCTCAGAGGCTTCAACTTTTAAGCTTAGAGGTTCTTTGTGATCGGTCTGACTTCTTCCAGTGCAAGTCTCCCAGGATTACTCACAATCTTGTGACCAGCTATGGTGGAAATGAGCACTTTCCTACCCAGTGTAGGGCAGTACTTAAGAAGACACTGAAGCCTTAGGCAAGCTGGACAATTTGAAGATGTTCGTAGAACACTTTTGAAGAACAGATGCATTTGTTTTGAAGGGAAAGAAGTTCTTAGTGTTTCTCTCTCACACCCAAGATGTATCCTATGTTTTCAACCTTCAACAAACTGCACTGCTTCAAGCCATGGATAAAGCTAGTCCTGTTTCCTTTGACTGACATCTGTAGTCCTTATGTGCACTTCAACCCAATGGTTGTTCATCCAAGAACCTTTTTAACTACCTAGTAGCCCTGTTAACTTGTCCCAGAGAAATCCTCCTGCCTTTTTGTGCCAGCAGCACTGAAGTTTTAACTCACAAAAATAAGCTATATTAATATGCTTCAAAATGAAGCTGGTTTAAATGTTGTAGTTAGACATACTAGGATTTTCTCAGGATTATTCAGCAGTTTTTCACAAAAAAAAACCTGCAAAAAAAAAAATCTCTGAAGGAGCGTCTGCTTACTGTGCAAGTCAAGCAGAAGGTAAGTACCTCTAGCACACGTTCGGTGCTACCCACGCACCAAACCATTTTCTCTGTTAGTCATCTTTCCCTACCCTCCTTCTAAATGCAAACATTGCTTTCTTAGCACTCACGAAACTCACCTCTGTGCTGTGCCTTACATAACTGATTTCGACACGGAGCGTTGTGCCACAAGCGCAGTGGACACGTGATCCTCCAGTCAGCCTCTGAAAGCCATCTTACCCCCCAGCATGGCTTCCTGGGTGGGTGTTTGCAGCTTCAAGGCCCTTGCAGCACTCCAGGACACTTACACACCCCTAAAGGGTTTCAGCTTCTTCCTGCGTTGTTCTCATCTCGTGCTCGCCTCTGCAACTCCACCAGTCGCACAAGCACAACACTCACTGGGCATAAGTGTCCCCGACCCTCACACAGAACCAGCATCCCATATATCCATGCACTTATTGTCAATGACTGTATGGATTTACCTGTGCCTCTTGCTTTCTCTCCCCTTGCACTGAACTCCCAGTCTGCTCTCATTCTGCATGTGCGTAGGGCCCCTTGCACACTCAGCCTGCCTTAAACTAAGAGGCAGATAACTACAGATGGCTTAAACCATCATAAACTTTTTCTCACTCCTCATCACTCTTCCCTCCCCCATAAGCGGTTTTCCTTCTCCCAGGCCCCACACCCAGGTCTGCAATCCTCACCTGTGCTTCCCTCATTTATTCAGAGCATGCTGTGGGCACAGATCTCTCTTATCAGGCACAACTTTTCACTCCTTTCACCTTTCTTTCCACAGCCCTCGCGAGCAGGCACGGGCTGACAGGTACCTTCCTCCCTTACACACCATTGTGTGTCGACCTACGCTGAGCTTCTCACCCCTTGTAACATGAACTGTCATTCCCATTCACTTCCACTTCATGCTCTACATCTCCCAACTCCACTCTCCTCCTCACAAACTTCACACTTTACTTCTGACCTTAGAACAGCCATGTGGCTTATACAGCCCTCCAGGTAGTTTTCCCTCCCATTCCTTCTCCTCCCACTCCTTGATATCTTTAGTCATTTCTCTCCACGAGCACATTTGTTCCATTCCCTCCTGTTGTTTCGCTTAACCAGTACCTACCACAGAGATATAAACACATTTGCTACGTCTGTTGTAACAGAAAACTGCTCTTTTATTTTTTTGTGTGTGTATGTGTTCTGCTCCTCCCACAGTCTTCAGTCTTCACATTATTCCTTACTCACCATTTTTGGCCTCAAATGATTTCCCTGTAACATATTGCCAGTTCTTTCCCTGTTTTACTCCACCTGCCCAGTCAGGAGGCATCCTCTGTTCTGCTGACCAAACCACTACTGCACCATGGCATTATTTCCTCTCTTTGCCTACTAAGCAATACAATCCTAAATTTCCTCTCACCCTCTACTCTTTTGCCCTGTGCCTCCTCTAAACCAGGCATCTTTACAGAAAACCCAGCTCTTCATTTCTTCCTCATTCATGCCTCCTACACTCCTTACTTTTTCCCCATTCTCATTCTTCTCAACACCTGCAACGTCTTTATATTCTTGTTCACCCTGCCCTTATGATTTCCACTCTCTTGAATTCTTCACAGCACCTTCCCATGGTTTTTTCTTCAGTTCCGTCTCTCCCTTGTATTCAGTCAGCACACTCCAGCAGGTTTCCAACCTCATCTGAAATTTCTCTAATCAGCTACCCCTTCTCATACTTATGGGACCCTATATCCCTTTCCCCTCATATCACCCTATCTCCATCCAGCTCATTTTTTCCTCTGCATTCCTGTTCTCAGCACATGTTTCCACCACCATGCAAGCCTCCCCTTTCATAGCACCTTCCTTGTAAATACATCCTCGTATCTATTTCTTGACAGAATCAAAGGTGTCTCCTTTTGACGCCCCCCACGAGCATCATGTAGCCGATTATTTTCCACACCTCTCTCCAAATAGCCAATAGTTCACATTTTAATTCCTCCTCCAAACATCCTTTGTGCCCTGCGCTTTCACCTTTCTCCCTCCACTCCCACTCCATACCCAACCTCCCCCTTGCAGACCCTGGCACCCTTGTTTGTCCCTTTCATATCCTCATCCAGCCTCCAGTCTGTACCTTTTGCCATCTCTCTCAAGTGTTACTTCCCCTTCTGAGCTTCTACACTTTTTTCCACCCACAAAGATCCTCTTTTTTCAGTTGACTTGCAGCAGTTTCCTTTTTGAGTTGACCAACTTTGCACAGTTCACCTGCCCTTATCACCCTGATGCACAACAATAATACAGAGCACCTTATTCCTGATATATAATACTTTATATGTAAAATTTCATTTTTCTTTCCCTGAGAAAAAAAAAAAGAAAAAACCAAACAACCCACAACAGAACAAACCAAACAAAACCTCCGAAACCTACGTGTTTTGCGTGCCTCAACATACAGCACCCTTCTCCACAAAGCACTCTCCTCCTGGCTCTGCTGGTCCATCCTCTTCTCCCCGTGTTTTGGGTCCACCACCTGCAATCATGCCTAGTTTTCCTCCCCCCACCACACTCACACACAGAGCTCCTGGTACTGACACGTGAATCTAAGACCAGTCTTTTTACTACTAGCAGCTGGAACCATGCTGAACTCCCTTCCATTCTCTGCTGCTTTTGTCTGCTTTGACACAAAGCAAGGCTTTTTTTGCCCTTTTTTTTTTTTTTTTTTAATTATTATTAGATTTTCCTTTTTCTTACATCCCATTTTTAGATGTTTCTTGCACCACTCCTCCACTTACAGGCTTGCACAGATCAGGTATTTCTGTGCCTGAGAATGTCTCTCCTATTTGTCTGGATATTTTCCTGAAGGCACAATGTAAAGGCAAAACTTTAAATACCATTTCCACTCCTCATGCAACAAATCACACAAGCCTGAGAGCAAAGAGTGCTTTCTGAAAGGTTGTAGCTCATAACAATTGCCTGGACCATATAACACACATCCCTGTCTATTTAAAAAGGGGGGAGGGGAGAGAAGCAACCCCCCTCACACTCACAGAGTCATCTCTAAATAACTGGTTTTGCAATATAGGAACCAGAGAATGTGCACATAGCAGCCTTATTCAATCCAAAATATCCATCTCTCCAGATACTGCATATTTATAGTTCAGAGATAGGACCAACACAGAGCTTTCCCGTTTATTTTAATGAAGGATTAAGAACTGATCAGAAAACTATCTGAACCATTCAAGGACTTTTTCCCCTCTTGGCTAAGAGCAGTTTGGTGTCTCCATGAGGACTCGCCAGTAACTGACGCTCTAAGCTGCATTTCAGCTGTTTAGATGAGAAACAGCTTTCTATTTTGCTCTCTATATGTGCGTCTACGTTGATTAGTTGTGTGCTGCATTCCTAGAAGGAACTTAGCAAACGCTGGAACCTGCAGCGTAGGAATAGTTTCCCTGCCATCCTAGCACAGACTGAGTGTTTCTTTTCCACCTAGACACAGATGTGCAGGGAGTCTTTTGATCTCCAGTTCCTCGCAGAGAATTTAGTGTTTGGGTTTGAGGAGAATGAGGATTGATTCAGAGGTCATGAATAGGGTTTCCAGTGTCTGGCACTCACACACACAAAAAAAAGAGAACTCCAGTGAAGCTGGTTACCTGAGACAGACGAGGTCTAGAAATTGGGAATTTTGACTTTGCTTGTCAGGGGCTCTAACTTTGCCGGAGGGCGAGCGTGCTACGTACTGAGGCTGGTTCTTGCAAACCCACGGTCAAGACTTTCAACGCCTTTTGTTATATCTGAACTTGCTCATTTCCCTCTTAAAAACAAGAGTCTCCTTTGCTTTTGCCTCTTAATTCAGACTCCTTTAGCACCTTGTATTTCTCCTCTGCTGTTTTCTTGCCAGGGACCCGAACAACAGTGTGAGGAGCCGCAGGAGAGGGGAACCTCAGGACTAAACTGTAGGGCAAGTAGGGGTGGGGGAAGGAGGAGGCACAATGGGAAAGGCAACATGTGGGACAGATCTACTGCTTACAAGACCCCCACCTCCTCCCCATTATACTTCTTTAAAAAAACCCTCTCCCCCCCTCCCCTCCCCGCCCTCTTAGGACCCTATTAGAAAACGTCAAATTTCCCTTACCGTGGTAGGAGTAACCATGGCATCCGTGTGAATGTTTCCAGAAAAGTCGACATGAAGAGAAAGGTGGATGTAAATACGTTCATTCAAAGTCCCAAAGTTGGTCTGCTTGGGTTGTGCAGAGTTGCTCTATGGGAGAGGAGCCTTAAACTCTGAGTCCCGTGAACATAATCTGCTCGATTATAACAAACCAGCTCAGCCAGATGGCTCTGTGCTCCGTGGATTAACCCCTTTATTGCCACACTCTGCTTTCTCTACCTACCTCGCCTGGCTGGGGAAATTCAGAGAATAGGGCATTTTTTTGAAAATGATAAAACTGTCGTAAAGGTCATTTTTCCCCTAAAAAAAACATCTTGTATCTATTTTCTTCTCCTTTTTTTTTTTTAATCTGATTGACGTTCTTATTCCTCTTCCTGGCAAAATCTTTTCATATTATTAAGAACAGTATTAGCACCAGGGAACATTTTAGAGAATTCTTTTGTTAAATCATAACCATCTCTTCCAGGCTGCAATTCTCAGAAGATGAGTATTTTATTGCAGGAATGTCTCTGTGTTTGCACTCTAATGGTCCATGCACTCCCCCCGCCCCCACCCCCCTCTCCCCCACGCTCTCTCTGTCTCCCACATGCACACTGACACACATGCACACATTTTGCTCAAATTGCCAGCATGTGTTACTATTCTTACCCATATTCAGAAGTCATTATAGGACATGTAAAACAGGTGAAATAGAGACACGGAACTAGAATGCCATAAGCTTTCTCGCTCTGGTTCCTCTTTTTATTTTCTTTTTTTTTTTCTTTTTATCATTTGTGAATCTTAGACAAATTTATTTCTTTGCTCAGCATTTCTGTCAATGAAGTCACCCACCATGACACAAAAATAAGTGTTGCAAGAAATATCCACTGTTAAGGACAGGCTTTAGGATGTATTTGTGTCCATTCCTCCTGTTTTGACTTGCAGATTAGTCCATTAAGTAAAGGATGGGAAGTGCCAAAAACATGGAAAGTTCATCAGCAACCAGCAGCGACTGGTTTTTCAAACTTTTTATTTAGAGTGATCACTCACAGAGATGGCTGATAAATTTAGCTGCATGCCTCAAAGTCTCCCTCTAAATTTACATGCTTAAGTCATCTTCTGTTTGATTCAGACATAATTGAGCAAGTCATAACCAAAAGAACGTGGTCATATAAGATGTGATAAAACACTTTAAATCTTAAGGGTTGCCAGATTGTTTCCTTAAAGAACGCTTCCTTTACTAGCTAATGGAGTTTTTTCCTTTGCTGTTTAACTAAAGAATTTTTCCTTTCTCCCCTCCCTCTATAAAGATGATTGGCCCTCTCATTCTGCCAAAGCATTGTACCATCTTCTTTAAGACATTTCAATCTACCTAGAGAGTCGTCACAGTTTTGTTGAAATATTTTCCACCATAGATTGAAATATGGATGATGTTGGTTGTTGTTGCTCTTTACCTGAATTTTTCCAGCCATAAAATTATACTCTCTAGGGGACTTTACAATTTGTATCCATCTCATAAATTCTGCCTGAATCACTTGTTCCCTTTGGCTGCTGAGAAGGAAAGAGTCATCTTCCACCACTGTCTTCTAAGAATTCTCTACTAAAACTTGCTGCTCTGCCAATCAAAAAACCACTCAAACTTTGAATAACTCTAGAATCAATGGGTTTTGTATTCACCCTGTACCTAAATGCTGTTTTCATCCTATTTAGAACTTTTTCAGCTAAGAGGAGGGAACTAGAATTAAATCCTGTGAGTCCCCCACCCAGCCCTGGTACTGCAGTCAGATCTGAGAAATGCCTAAAATGTGACTCAGCTTTTAATCTCCTGAAGTAGACAAACAGTGCTAGGAATAGAAGAACTTTCCTGTGGCTGGTGAACGTTCCTCTGGAGACAGGCAAAGGGTTAAGCATGTGAAGGCAACCCTTGCGCGGGAACTTCACATTTGCAGCAAGCCCGGTTAAAAAAAAAGAAGCAAAAGGAGAAGTCTAGAAGCAAATGTCTTGAGCAGAGGGGCTGCCTACCTTTGGTGGGAGGCAAACCTATCAGAGCACAAGTGGAGGGGTTTTGCCCTGTGCCTGAATTTGTGGGCAATCAGAGGCCTTGTAATTTGAGACGTGACACCTTAATCTTGCCAAATACGTGTGCACTGCAAAAAGCATTGTAGGCAGGGTGTTTTCACAGCTATAGAAAATGGAGACATGTTTGGTCCTTCAAGTTTTCTAACCTTTCTTCTACAGATGTTTCTGTTGTTCAGAAGTTGCTTCTTTCTACATATTTTTACCTTTTCATCCATTATTCTGGGGGTGGGGTTGTTTTTTCCTAATGCTTACCCTTAGCAGAAATGGATTTCTTTTATGCTTTAAACATGTTTCTGAATTTTTTATGAGAAGCAATCAAGCTCCCAAATGGTCACCTCATTTCATCTGTTGCCCTTGGGTCTGAGGTTCTGACATGGCAAAATAAATAAAAAAATATGTTACTTTGAACAAGAACAAGGCTCTGTTCTGCCTTGAAGAATCTGAAATATTGCTCAGAGCATGCTGTGGAAAGTCATCTTTGAATTCTGGTACTTTTAATTGGAATAATTAGTAGGCATTGATCTGATTAATTAGGCACTTGATCAGACTTCAAAACATGTGATATTATATATACTTTGAAGACATGTATTTTTCTCTATGCATTAACAGATACTACTGTGATCGTGTTTGATGATAAAAAATTGAATATTTATAGGGAAGATATGCATGTGAGTATGCAAATAGATAAAAATTTTATTGGGTTTAATGCATGCCTTGGGCCATTCTAAAAGCAGGGGGGGTGTGTCATAATGTTTAGCTTTTGCAACAGCACCACTTTGTGGTTGAAATTCCAAATAGATCCCGAAAGGGGAAATGACTGTAGGGACACTATATGAACCTCAGCAAGTTTGAGCAGTTCCTATGGTGGTTTTCTATCCATCAACAAACACACCTGAGATGGAAATATGTTCCACCCACATGGTCCTCCCTTCATAAGAGGGTAGTTTTGAAGTAAAGGCAAAGAAGAAGAAGAAGTAGAAGCAGAAGATTAACTCTGAACATTTTGTCTTAGATCTTCAATACAGGAGGATGTTCACCTTTCCAGTGTCAAAATCGCTTTCATTCAGGTTTCCAGAATTTATTGAAGGGTCTGACAGCATCTCTAGAAAAGATTTCTTACTTGAAATGTGCTACAAATGCTTTGTTAAAAGTAAAAATGAATTCAAGTATGGTTTTATGGTGGTAGAAATGGTGGTAGAAAAGAATAGGTTATTTTAGAAAATATTTATTTAAACATTATGTTAATATTGTTTTAAGACTACAAATGGTGCCGTTTCAGAGCTGAAAGAATTTCTGAAACCTCATTGGCATTGGGCTTCTATATAGAATCCCAGAATCACAGGAAAGGGAATGTTGGAAGGGTCCACAGAGGGTCGTGTAGTGCCACCTCCCTGCTCCAGCAGGGTCATCCCAGAGCACATTGCACAGGGTTGTGTTCAGATGGCTCCGGAATATCCCCAGGGAGGGAGACTCCACATTCTCTCTGGGCAATCTGTTCAGTGCTCGCTCACTGCACAGCAAAGAAGTTCTTCCTCATGTCCAGCTGGAACTTCCTGGGCATCAGTTCCTGCCCGTGGCCTCTTGTCCCATTGCTGGGCACCCCCGAGCAGAGCCTGGTCCATCCTCTGTCCCCTCCCTGCAGACACTGACACACATGGATGAGGTCCCCTCTCAGTCCTCTCTTGAGCCATCATATATACTCACATTTGGGTTTTCCTTGCACCCAGGCTAGACAAGTGAGAAAAATTAAATAAAAATTCCAAGCAGGATTCACAAACATGGTCAAACTTGGTTCTGACATGGATTTCTTGGAAGTTATCTTCTGCAGTTTTTCCTCTTTCTCGAAAAACATAATCTGCTAAATTCTCAAAATAATTACAACAGCTCATAACAATTAGCATGGTAGATCAAGGATGACACAGGGGCAAACAGGTACCCAGAGCTGTGGCCATGCCAAGAGGTAGGACGGGAAAAATGCATGTAAATAAGCAGGAATGACAGTCACACCCTAAAAGCCATTACTCTTTAGACCTCTTCCTGAAACAAGACATTTTACAGTTAGCTTTTATGCAGTTCACCTGCAAACCTATTTCCTTGACAGAGAATGAGCAAAGTGAGATTAGATGGGATTTTTAAAATAGAGTTAATTAAAATAATAAGCAACAGACTATTTTGCATCTACTAATTACAACTACTAGTACTTTTTTGTGAGAAATGTTTTGCATACATACATCACACAGCAGTTTTACATACACAACACAGCAGTATTCACTCCAAATTTTTAAGTGTTTTACAAATATTTTTCATACATTTCAATATATTTCAATATATTTTCAATATATTTCAAAGCTTCCCTGTTGCTTGGAATGTAGGGATCTGTACTCCTATACCAAAATAAAGCCATATATTAAGTAATATACAAGAGGGGACTTACACTTGCCAATATATAGCTGTGGTTTTGGATTAGATTTATGGATGATTACAAATCTCTCTACTACTAATGTGCTACATCATTTATTAGCTTAGCACATATTTTGGACTTATTTATATTTTTTACTTACTTATTTGCCTTTTTCTGATGGTATCTAATTTTTTTCGGAGACGATCTTTACTGCAGGAGCAATCCAGAATTGCTGCAGGAGGACAAAGTTAGTTGATGATAGGCAACATTTTGAGAAGTGAAATCTATTCCTTGTAACCATAAGCATACTTTTGCAACCCCTACTCATTTGTTATGATTACCAAACTAGAACTTCCATAAATATCTGTAAAAAGAATCCTAAGGAAAAAAATCAAATTAAAGCTGTATGAAGAAGTTTATTTCCAATATTTATTCTGGAACTGGGAAAAGGTGCCTTCAGTTTTTAATGGTTCAGTTTTTAATGTTACTCCCAGTAACAGCACCATTCTTTTGTGAGGAAGAAAAATTCCAATCTGGGACATATAAAGAGATGCATAAAGCACTTTGGTAAGATGTCAACTGGGATGCAGGATCCAGCTCTTATCATAGTCAAATCAGAGAAGACCTGGAAAATGACAGAAGCAATGATTAAATGATGTATTA